GTAAATCTAATTAGACAAATATGATCCCCTGCACGGAGTGGAGACAGTCTCATTATTAGCACATGAGCCATGGAAATTGTCTCGTTTCATCAGACAGATTAGATCCAGCTGCTGCGCAGTAATCTCGCATGGAATTTTATTTTACAGACTGGCTTAAATAAGCAGACATCTCCATTCTCACAAGGAGTTTGAGTTATTTCACCTTTCAACTGAGTATGGTAATGTGGGCATGTTCAGTGCTGTTGCGAATACGAACTTGTAAACGCCTGTCCTGCGCATAAATTATTTGATTAAATTAATTAAATTGTAATTGACCGGTACAACATGGAAAACAGTTTAATACAGGCTTCTCTGATACTGAATATTTCACTTTAATGTTATAACATTAGTATAATATTAATGTTATTTAGGCTAGAATAATAAAATTTTTTATTAATTTTTATTTATTTTATTTATTTTGACAACCGAATTAGTGATTCGGCATTGTTGAAGCATATAGCGGATTTGAAGCATCTCAAATGTTATTCGTTCTTATATTTTCTCTAGAAAATAACTGAACATCAAAATTATTGAAACAAAGAGAAAAACTATACGAAATTTTTTTTTTTAATATTTTTTTTCTAAGAAAAATATATATTTTTGCTTGAGCCTGTCCACTCAGCTGTGCGGGAGGATGATTTTCAGTCAGTGGAAAGTGAGGATTTAATTAGCCTAATGCTTCACCAAATGTATTGTCTCACAATCTTTTGACATATATTTGCAATTTTATAGATTATGTTTTGAGCGTCTGATTTTTCCTTGGTGCTGATGTGTTTTATTACATTTAGATTTCAATGAAATATTTAAATTAAAAAGGAAACGAATTATGTCATAACGAAAAAATATTGTCTTTGACAGTAAGCAATGCATCTGTGTCTTGACATTATTGGGAAAGGAGCGGGCGGTGCTGGATTTAGCGTACAAAAATAGTGTTATTCCATGCGTTCAAAATAATTACAAACATCAATGTCATCTAAAGTCTTAAAATAATTAAATGTTGTAATAATATATTAAATAATGCCTAACATCTGCGTTTAGGCTGTTTAAACTGTTTCTGTCTTTTAAAACAGCAAGTTCTGCGAAAAAATCGTGCTCTCCCGTTTGCGAAGTGAAAGTGAGGTGCAGCGTATGTATGAGTATGAGTTAGCAGCTACTGAACCACCTGCTAACTCATACACATAGACTGTATTAACAAAAATATCACAATTTAAGGTAATAACATCATAAAATATGTTGATATATATTCCTAATTGTTATATGCAATAGAATTCTGGTCAGTAAAAAAGAGTGTCAGTATATATTGACACTCTCTTTATATCACATTTCTAACATAATAGTTTTAATAACTATTTTAATACTAGATATTTTTAATATATCAGTTTAAAGTGCACTTTAAAAACTTAACTATAGGTTAATTATAGGGTAAAGTTATGGTAGGATTAATTAAGTCATTTTATAGTGATTTGTTACAATAAAAAAAAAAAACTCAAGGAGGCTATTATTGATCCTAAAATGTTTTTTAAACATGATTTCGTTGTATTGTCGTTTATTTAAAATATTTTAGCAGCCAGTTATTTTAAAGAGAAATAAAAAAAAATACAGTCATTGTAGCAGACTAAGACAACAATCTGATTATGCAGTAAGGAGCCCCGCCTTTACTCTTGAGGGTGAGCTCACGCAGTTTGCACTAAACACCTGTGTCTTTTAAAAAAGGTTTGCTTGCTGTTTATGCTCTTCAGGATCGTTGCATTTTTGCTGTTTTTTTGTGTTCCATTTTGATGCTCTTTGATGTAGGACAAAAAGGCAAATTTCTAAAACAAGTGGTTATTGTAGCTCGTTAGATCGTGAAGACATAATAATAATAATAATAATAATAATAATAATAATAATAATAATAATAATAATAATAATAATAATAACTTTAATTTAGATGAATGCACATTCAATTAAATTAATTAATTATTTTCACTATTTTATTTTATTTAAATGTAAACAAGAAGACCGATATATGCGTTTCATATACATTGTTATATTTTACAATAAATGACCAGGCTAAATACTTATGATTCTTAACTTTTGTGTTTTGAGTGATTTTTAAAAAAAAAAGTATTGTTATAAATTAAATATTTAACGTGTTAATCTGTATTTAATTTTACCAAATGATTAAATAATCAAGCAGTTTTTACAATTTTTAAATAAAACATTTAGAATTGTTTTGTAATCTTTAATTAATGCATTGGATACAAAACTGCTATTTAAATTTAAACGTTTGACTGGAGCGTCGTTAATCTTAATTTTTAATTATTAAATAAAATTTAGCCACAGGTAATTTTGCAAATAAATTAATAAATAGGCGTCACGGTGGCGCAGCACAATTCGGACAGCTAGATGGTCGCTGGTCGACAGATCAGAATTGGGTCAGTTGGCATTTCTGTGTGGAGATGCATGTTTTTTTTCGTGTTGGCGTGGGTTTCCGGATGCTCCGTTTTCCCCCACAAGACATCCCACACAGAAAGAACGTTCATTCATATTCTTGTCGGCTTAGTCTCTTTATTAACCCGTGGTCGCCACAGCGGAATGAACCGCCAACTTATCCAGCACGTTTTTACGCAGCGGATGCCCTTCCAGCCGCAACCCTGGGAAACATCCACAAACACTCATTCTCACACATTCATACACTACGGACAATTTAGCCTACTCAATTCACATGTACCGCATGTGGACTGTGGGGGACACCGGAGCACACAGAGGAAACCCACGCGAACGCAGGGAGAACATGCAAACTGCCTATGGTTCATGATGGTGTTTTTACATTTGCAAAGCGGACAACTGCACACTTATCATAACCTAACATAAATCTTTATGTTTACCTTTAAAATTATAAAAAAGGTATATAGTCTAGAGTTGCGTGTTATTCATGCCAAAATTTAACCAATTCTCTCGGTAATAACTGTGAATTTAGGTAGCTATCTTTTTAAGGTATTTTTCTGTCTACACTAATGCTTTAAAATTTAACTAATTAACACAAATAGCTACTATTTTTTTTTAAAATGACATTATTGTAACATTTAACTTTTTCTCATTTATATTGGTTGGGTACGGCTACGTGAACACTTTTTTTAGTGTACGTGAAGCGTGATGATTTTGCTGATTTCACTATTTATTTATCGGTATAGAATAGTCTAACCGTGGTAAGCTTGCATGCATAGTTTGACGTCTTTACCTAAAACTGTACACATTTATTATTTGAAATAAAACGGAAATAAATAAGGAGAATAAAATAATGTAACGTTTCCCAGAGATGGGTTGCGGCTAGAAGGGCATGCGCATCCGCTGCGTAAAAACTTGCTGGATAAGTTGGCGGTTCATTCCGCTGTGGCGACCTCGGATTAATAAAGGGACTAAGCCGACAAGAAAATGGATACATTAAAATAATGTAAAGCCCTTGGCACTGAAAGATCTGTCGCATTTATATAAACGGTATTGTTGTACTACCTTCATTGATAAAGCCAGTAAAAATGAAACTGTGCGTATTACTACTACAATAAAAGTACCTATATATTATACTGCCTTAAGCTAGTAACTTGGGCAGCAATGCAAAGTAATAACAAATAAGTGAACAAATAGCCTAAATGAAAGGAACAGGAGGGTCCAAAATCAGTCATAAGGTCTGCCCTATTAAAATGCCCCTGGCGCAGGGCCTGTCAGGGATGGCATTGTGGAGTTTTGCTATAACGCACATCAAACGCACCCAAACAAGCTAACCAACGTATTCAAGACCACTAAAGCTGGCAGGAGCTTGATGGGCTGGAGCTAAAATCTGCATTAGCCCTCCAACTGATGTTGCCCATCCAGCCCTAATAGTATTAAGTCAGTTTGCGTTTGCATAGACCTGCTATGTCAATGTAACGTCAATGTAACTTTATATTTCATTCATTATTTTAATTTATATTTTGCTAATTAATACTTAACTGTAAAAATGTTATTGAATCTACTTAAACTATTTACGTTCAATATGTCTGTTACAATGTTTAATATGTGTTAGTTGAGAAAGTTATTGTTGTGCTCCGGCTCCTTTAAGGGAGGCGCACTGGAAAGCAGGAGAGAGAGGGAAAAAAGGAAGTGGAGGAATTCGGCAGATGCAATGCTGTTGTAATGTTGTTTGTGAATGTTATGTCGATGCTCCAGATTAAATAAAAGAAACGAATTATCACCCATCCAGCGTTTATTTGCGATGCCCACGTTGGAGAGAATGGTCTGTAAACAGCCAGAAATAAGGGTTACAACAACATGCCCGGTCACTTTTGCCAAGGCACTTCCAAAAATACATTTCTGCTGATGCCATCTATCTAAAATGAACATTAACAAGCATAAAGACGTGGAATCTATCTATGTTAAAAGGTACTTTGTAAATAAGCATTTGCTATCAGTTCAGAGTGCCACGATCAGTGGTGAATTAGTCTTGTCTGGTTCTGTTCATCGTTGATTGGGTGAGAGCAGCTCAAGCTTACTGGCTGTGGAAATCAGCGGGAGTGGCTCATTATACTTCAGGAAAGCGCCGTTTATAACGCGCGTTTCAGTGGGGTTAAAACGGCGTTTTAAACGGCGTTTTGTGGCAAGCGGAACGCGTCATAAGCCGCGCTTTTTACTAACACTAAAACGGCGTTAAAAACGGCGTTTTTTACAGGTTTACGTGCGTTATTTGCGGCGTTTGCAACCAGAACGGCGTTTTTAGCGGCGTTTGAAATGGTATTAGCGCCGTTTAATGCGGCGTTTTAATTGTAAACGCGATTGATTAATAGTGTATTTCCGATACCTTCGGCTTGCCATAGTGTGTGTGTGGTTGCTTTACTGGAAACACGAGGGCGGAGCCTGTTAGAAATATCAGTCGGTAACGTACTTCAACTCGATGGCACAAACATAGGACACCTCCACTACCTCTGATAGACTTTTACACAGCTGATCTCTGATCAACTGTTCAAAAACTGACATGAAACCGATTTTTATCCCTTTAAAAGAAGGTCTATCTTGCTCAAGGGGTTTTATGGAGATCATAAAAGGAGATATGTTTTAAGAAAACTCCCAAGATTGAGTCGGATAACGCTTTGAAGGTAAAATAACGTTTTGCGCTTCATTCTAATGCACAGGAATGCTTTAAAACAGTCTATTATTCAGTTGTGCATATGTTATGTTATGTCCGCCTATTATGCATGCTTCGATGTATGCGGTGCGACATGGTATCCCGAATGAAAAAGGCTACGGTTGAGCAATGTACGGCATAGCATGATAGTTTTAAGTCTGTTTGGGTTATAGATGTGGGCCAGTGAAGCAGAACGACCTGAATGTAACCCGAACAAGTCGGCGAATTTCTATTCCAGTCAGGATAACAGAGTGAAGGGGTATTTACGGTGTAACACGAGACAGAGACCGTGTGTCATGAATGAGGAATTGGGTTATTCACAACGAACTGGAGGACCTCATTCATAACCTGTTTTCTATTAGCCCGAGAAAGCGATCGAAGTCAATATCGGGTTTACACGGTCGAGCTTAGACTAAAAATAAGCTTCGATTAGCAACTAGTTAATTCATCAGTTGCACGCCGTTTTAACGTTTCCGCCTCAGATTGAGCTCATTTCATGCGATAGCGACTAGTAAAACCAGTAACTCTTCGGTTATTTGTCCTACAAGGACTATCTGTTTTGGTAAAGCGAGAACAGGTAACAGTAACTAGAATATCTTATAGTAAATATTTGACCTAAAACATTCACAATCTCTAACAATTTGGCAGGCTACTAGTGGTATTGAAATAGTAGTCATAGTATTAAACAAGAATTGACACCAAAGACATTTTACCTACTTGGCTAACATTACACATTCCCATATATTCAATAACAAAATAGCCATTCATTTCCAGTAGTAGCCTACTAGGATCCTGTCTTGTAGCAGTAGTATTTGCATAATTGTAATAGGTAACAACCACACTGGCATACTAATCAATGCAAGTCTTTGTTCTAAGCCACACTATTTAATTCAGCATAAGTACTTCAGTAGTATTAGCATTATGATTGTTACTAACACCAAAATTACTAGTAAAATCATCTGAATGACAGATAAAATAGATAGTTTGTTACCAGGAGTATTGGAAAACGGTTGAAGTCCGAATTATTAGCCCCCCTGAATTAATAGCCCCCCTGTTTATTTTAACAGACAGCAGATTTTTTTTCATGATGACAGTACAGAATATTTAACTTTTTATTTTCCAAGACATTTCTATACAGCTTAAAGTGACATTTAAAGGCTTAACTAGGTTAATTAGTTTAATTAGGCAGGTTTGGGTAATTAGGCAAGTTTTTTTTATTAATAATGGTTTGTTCTGTAGACAGTCGAAAAAAATATAGCTTTTAGGGGCTAATAATTTTGACCATAAAATGCTTACATTTTTAAAAAAATTTTGCTTTTATTCTTGCCGAAATAAAAACAAAATTCTTTCTCCAGAAAAAAAAATACTATCAGACATACTGTGAAAATTTCCCTACTCCGTTAAACATAATTTAGGAAATATTTTAAAAAAGATTTTATTTTTCAGAATTTTCTAACTGTGCGCGCGCGCGCGTGTGTGTGTGTGTGTGTATGTATGTATGTATGTATATATGTATGTATATGTATATGTATATATATATATATATATATATATATATATATATATATATATATATATATATATAATGTGTGTGTATGTGTGTATGTATGTATGTATATATATATATATATATATATATATATATATATATATATATATATATATATATATATATATATATTTATATATGGGAACAAGATCCAGTATCTAGTAATGGATGAGTTTAAAGCATCCCAAGAAACATTGAACACTTTCAAAAAAGTAAGTGGTACTCTAAGTACAGAAGAAAAATGGGCCCTAAAGACACAAATGTTTATACAGCCATAATTTATCTCTAAATAGTACAATTACATAATTAAAGTGTTTCTTTGAAGTAGGAGGGTTGGGCTTTAATGATAAAGAACACATGTGAGAAACATCCAATCCGCTTATGAGAACTATGAATGGCCCTCATAAAGCTGATGTCATAGCAGATGCACGCCTGCTGGCACTGGCTTCTGTTTTGGTGGATGCTGACATTTTCCATTTGCCTTTTCCTTCAGCTGCCTTCCATACCCACCGAGACATCATTTCTTCTGGATGTGGAAGAAGTGTCAGAGCTCTGGGCTTTGTGTTGGTGCTCTCCGGTGCACGAGCACCCTGGCTGGGACAGCCCTTCGGCCCTGGACCCCGAGCACCGCTGGGTGCCGGGTGGTACAGGGGGTGGGCAGAGCGCCATGGTAACGCATAGTAGGCTTGACAGCGCCATGAGCAGCAGCCCCTTTGAAGGCGGCGTGCGCCTGCCCCCCCACCGGTACAAGACCTTCAGTTCTCGGGAGCAGTATCAGATGGTGCTCGCGGCTGTGCGCAAACTGCAGGAGAGTGGCTTCTACTGGAGCACCGTGAGCGGGAAGGAGGCCAGCACTCTGCTGAGCTCCGAGCCCCCAGGCACCTTCCTGGTGCGGGACAGCTCGGACCATCACCACTTCTTCACGCTCAGTGTGAAAACGGCCACAGGCACCAAAAACCTGCGCATCCAGTGCGATTCCTCCTCCTTTTTCCTGCAGACTGACCCGCGGAGCGAACAGGTGGTGCCGCGCTTCGATTGTGTCCTCAAACTCATCCATCATTACATGCCCTCAGCCGGGACAGTGAGTTCCTCCAATGCTGGAGAAGGAAGTGCGTACTTCATTTACTCAGGAGGTGAAAAGATCCCCCTGGAGCTCCTGCGTCCGCTGGCATCCAGCATGTCTAGTCTGCAGCATCTATGTCGAAAGACTTTAAACGGTCATATAGACGTGTCCACCAAACGGGACCAGCTGCCTCATCCACTCCAAGAGTTCCTCCAGGAGTACGATGCTCCCATCTAGCCCTCTCTCCCTAACGGGTTTCATATGAGAAATCGGCGTCTGTCAGTATTGCGGGCCAGCTGTGCCTTCGACCTCTGGATTGTGGACTTTATTTTTTGTGAAGGACAGCGTTCTCCCACTCAAGTGGATCAAGTGGATCAGACTTCCACGTTCCAGCGGCTGAAGATAAAGACGAGTGATAGTCGATCAGTATGGGAGTTAAGTGTGGCTTCGCTCCAGCTCTCCAGCATCGATCGGGAGACACTCGGTTTCCTCCAGCTCAACATTTTTTGACTTTCTCCTGGAAGGATGGAGCAAGAGCTGGGTGTTTGCAATGACGTACACATTTCCACTGCTTCTTGCCAAGTGTAATTGCCTCATAAGTGGGTGTGGGGGCGCAAACGGGGTGGCTACTTACCGCTCCGTGTCTGCTCTGGTGACTGTGTCAGGAAAAAGGACTAGAGCGAACGCATTGACCGGACGAGAGGCCTGTGACTGTGGACAGTTTCGGCCCTTTAGCGGACTGTTGTTACTTTCTTCACGACAAGAGCCAAAGCAAACAGTAGTTGCATTTGCGCTAGAAATAAACGACGGCTGAACATTGGTGACGATTCAATAGGAGCAGTTGACATTCATTTACTGTGAAGCAAATTCAAGCACAGTATGAAAAAAATCTTTAGTAACTCATTTACTGTGGTCTTTGACACGGAGGGCCTTGCATTTGGGCTCTGTGTGCTTGGAAATCCTCATTCAATAACAACGACACAGTGTTTGTTTCACATGCAGGACGTCTGCTATTCACTGAATGTATTACGAGTCTTTGGAAGGGCTTACGGTTCCACTTGTAGATCATTTTTCTGTTTTTGTAGTTCATACTTTGTCAGATCAAGGTGTTTACATGTGTGGCCACCAACAGGACAGCATGTTTTTTACTCTGTCTTTTATAAAGATGTCTCATCTTAAGGTCTGGTCTGATGACCGCAGTGCAAGCTTGAAGATCAGAAAACAAAGGCATTAACATAGAAACAAATGCAGCAAGAAACTTTGCACATATTTATATTTATAAGATATTTCCATAATTTATATTAAAGAGCACTATTTTTACAAAACGGACCCCACTGTGTGTTTTGCATTCTTTGTTGACGCGGGAATTCTGCGTGGCCTCAGGCTGCCAGGCTTTGAATATGCATGATTTTTAATTAGGCATTTGCTGCTGAACTATTTTCCTCCAGCCATATTTACACGCACCCAGAGACGAAGATACCACAACTGCTCTTGTTTTCAGAAAAGCAGGTCTGAGGCTTACCTTGAGGCGTGTGTATGCGTGTACAGGATGTCACTCTGTGCTTTCTCTTTTGATCAGAAGTAAAACCACCTCTATCTCTCCTATTTAATCTTGATCACTCTTCATTTCTCAAGAAAAATCTCTGCTATTTATTTTTAATTTCACTACTCGTAATTAACTCAGTTTGGTCATTTCTCAGATCTGGATGCTTCCACTTATTTGATTAACCCCTCTCTTAATTAATTTTCTCTGCTCTCCATTTAACTAAGGGCTTTTATCATCTCTCCGTCCTCATATTAGAGGGTAATTAACACATAGTAAAAGTTGTAACTCACAAACCATTAAATGCCTAAGTGGAAAAAAAATCAATAGGCCTTGATAAACTTCCTGAGCAAACCAAATAGAGCTTGACATGATAAGATTGCTGACTTACTGTGCAGATTTTTAATCACAAATAGTACAACTGCTTGCGCAATTCAGTGATAGCCTGTTATTTATTGCGTGTCTTTTATAGAATCATCAGTGGTCAGGAAAAGATGTGGTATCATTAGTCATTCTTAAAATTTAAAGGTCATTAAACTATGGAATGAAATCCAAACAATATATTCAAAAATAAACGCCAGCAAGTATTTTACATTTCCTTTAATTTTGATTTCCCTATAAAGCATAAAACCGTTTCAGTTCTTTGCAAAACATGCAGAAAAGCAAATATTGGAAGTTTAATTACTTTTAGGCTATAAAAGTAGCTTTAAAATAGCTTTTTTGTGTCTTGTAAAATAAATTCACAGATTTGTAATGACATCATGGTTAGTAAATCATGGTAGAATGTTTATTTTGGATGTAATATATACACATGATACAATAGATACAATATATTACAATGTGTCATGGTTGGTGTCATATTTTATACACCAAAAAAAATTGTTCTGCATATTCTGAACAAAAATAATTTGTTGACATTCTAAATGGGTCAACACGGTGGCTCAGTGGTTAGCACTGTCACCTCACAGCAAGAAGGTTGCTGATTCGAGTCATCCCTGTGCTCTGATTTCCCCCACAGTCCAAAGACACGTGGTACAGGTGAATTGAACAAACTAAATTGGCCATTGTATATGTGTGTGACTGAGTGTGTATGGATGTTTCCTACTACTAGGTTGCAGCTAAAAGGGAATCCAGTGTGTAAAACATATGCTGGATAAGTTGGCAGTTCATTCCGCTGTGGCAACCTCTGATGAATAAAGGAACTAAGCTGAATGAAAATTAATGAATGACATACTAAATGACTATTTAAGGACCCCACTGCAGCTCCAAAATACAAATTAACCTAACCTAACCCTTTTTCCAGTGCTTATTTCATGTTTTTTATAGTATAAACAAAAATTTAACAAGTTTTATGTCATAAATGTACACTCACCGGCCACTTTATTAGGTACACCTGTGTAATTGCTCGATAAAGCAAATATCTAATCAGCCAATCACATGGCAGCAACTCAATGCATTTAGGCATGTAGAGATGGTCAAGACGATCTGCTGCAGTTCCAACCGAGCATCAGAATGGGCAAGAAAGGTGATTTAAGTGACTTTGAACGTGGCATGGTTGGTGGTGCCAGACGGGCTGGCCTGAATATTTCAGAAACTGCTGATCAACTGGAATTTTCACGCACAACTATCTCTAGGGTTTAAAGAGAAAAAAGAGAAAAAAGAATTTTTTCTTCGAAAAAGGTTCGAAAAAGAGAAAATATCCAGTAAGCGGCAGTTCTGTGGGCACAAACGCCTTGTTGATGCCAGAGGTCAGAGGAGAATGGCCAGACTGGTTCAAGCTGATGGAAAGGCAATAGCTGATTATGTTCATCCCTTAAGACCACAGTGTGTCCATCTTCTGATGGCTACTTCCAGCAGGATAACATGCCACGTCATAAAGCGCGAATCATCTCAGACTGGTTTCTTAAACATGAAAATCACTGTACTTAAATGGCCTCCACAGTCACCAGAACTCAATCCAATAGAGCAACCTTGGGATGTGGTGGAATGGGAGATTCACATCATAAATGTGCAGCAGACAAATCTGCAGCAACTGCATGATGCTGTCATGTCAATATGGACCAAAATCTCTGAGGAATATTTCCAGCACCTTGTTGAATCTATGCCATGAAGGATTAAGACAGTTCTGAAGGCAAGTAAAGTAAGTGTAAATAAAGGTCAGAATCTTTGTTTTTAGTGTAATTTCAGTGTAGTTTTAACTAATATAAATTTGTTATGCTAAAAAGCATCAGCAAAAACTTTTTTTTTTAGACACTTAAACTGCATATCCCTTTTTTAATGTCAAATAATTACTGTAAATGTAATTTATTGCACATATTTTGCACCACAAACCCAAATCTGTCAATATTTGTTCACTCCATTCACTGGTGTGTATGTGTGTGTGTGTGTGTTTGCAGATGGACTAGAGTAATTTATGCCAGCAAAAGAGATTTACTTGTTTAGATTCCCAGAAATATATTAATATTTATAAAACACATACATACATACATACAGTATATACATGCATAAAGAAGCAGTGAGCAGTCTCTTCTCATAACTCCACTGCAAGTGGCATCTCCCGCTATGCTGTCTTTTACAGTATTTGGGAAGTCTCCGCCTTTTCTTCACACTCGTTCCGGCCTTCCTCCTTTTTCCTCCCTCCCTCATGTTTTCAAAACAAAGCAGCAGTCACTGAGTCCATTCCCCATTTGGTCAAAGCCAACGCCCGTCAAAAACACAAAGCCCCTGGGTTTAGAAACTTCCTGACCACCCTCCTCCCAAAACTATTTATCTATTGCAATATTTCACAGAATAAACATGCACTCTAGAGAGGCATAAATAGATGCATACATAAAAGGATTTCCCCCCCACTATTCTTTAATTCTGTCTAATCTCTAGCAAAACTATTGGATTCACTGCAATATTTGACATAATAAACATGCACTCTAGTCAACCTTTGTTCAAATATATGCATGCATAGAAAAAGTTTTCATATTTTTGTTGTCATTTCCATCTTCAAATATGCTTTACAGTAAATCACCTCTATAATTTCCAGCAAAAACGATTTGCTTTATTGCATATTTTACACAGTCAGGTTTGGTGAAAATATATATGCAGATACACTCACTGGCCACTTTATTAGGTACACCTTACTAGTACCTGGTTGGACCCTCTTTTGCTATCAGAACTGTCTTAATCCTTCATGGCATAGATTCAAAAAGGTGCTGGAAATATTACTCAGAGATTTTGGTCCATATTTACATGATCATGCAGTTGCTGCAGATTTGTCGGCTGCACATCTATGATGCAAATCTCCTGTTCCACCATATCCCAAAGGTGCTCTATTGGATTGAGATCTGGTGACTGCGAGGCCATTTGAGTATAGTGAACACATTGTTATATTCAAGAAACCAGTCTAAGATGATTCACACTATGCCATGACGTGTTATCCTGCTGGAAGTAGCCATCAGAAGATGGGTACACTGTGGTCATAAAGGGATGAACATGGTCAACAACAATGCTTGGGTAGGCTGTGGCATTGACACGATGCTCAATTGGTACTAATGGGCCCAAAGTGTGCCAAGAAAATATCCCCCAAACCATTAAACCACCACTAACAGCCTGAACCGTTGATATAAGGCAGGATGGATGCACGCTTTCATGTTGTTGACAACAAATTCTGATTCTACCTTTCAAATGTTGCAGTAGAAATCGAGACTCATCAGATCAGGCAACGTTTTTCCAATCTACTATTGTCCAATTTTGGTGAGTCTCTGCAAATTGCAGTCTCAGTTTCCTGTTCTTAGCTGGCAGAAGTGGGACCTAGTGTGGTCTTCCGCTGCTGTAGCCCATCTGCCTCAAGGTTGGATGTGTTGTGCATTCAGAGATGCTCTTCTGCATACCTCAGTTGTATAGGTGGTTATTTGAGTTACTGTTGCCTTTCTATCAGCTCGAACCACGAACTAGGCATCAACAAGGCATTTGCGCCCACAGAACTGCTGCTCACTGGATATTTTCTCTTTTTCAGACCATTTTCTATAAACCTTAGAGATGGTTGTGCATGATAATCCCAGTAGATCAGCAGTTTCTGAAATGTTCTGACCAGCAAATTTGGCACCACCAACCATACCACGTTCAAAGTCACCTAAATCACCTTTCTTCCCCATTCCGATGCTCGGTTTGAACTGCAGCAGATCGTCTTGATCCTGTCTACATGCATAAATGCATCGAGTTGCTGCCATGTGATTGGCTGATAAGAAACATGCATTAACAAGCAGTTGGACAGGTGTACCTAATAAATTGGCCGGTGAGTGTATGCATGCATGCCACAAAAAAGTTAGTTTATTGTTGTCAAAATCATGTTCAATCAGTAAATCACCAGTAATCTCTTGCAAAACTATTTTACTTATTGCAATATTGTACACATTAAACTATGTAAGAATATGTACATATGCATGCAAGATAGTTTTTATTTAAGTTTTATTGCTGTCGAACAGACTGAACAGCAAATCCATTTTGCTTATTGCAATATTTGACACATTAAACTATGTGTAAATGTATGCACATATGCATGCAAAGTAGTTTTATTTATGTTCTATATCCTGTCAATTGGACTTTGCAGTAAATCTGCAGTCCATCTGCTCACTTCTGATTTGCTTACTGTAACTCTAGGGAAGCAATACTCCATGTGCTTATGTTTCGACTTCCCTGAATTTTGCAAACTTACGGTAAGCCCAGTTATGTTGATACTCCTGCTGAGGACGCTGATGACTACGATTAACTGATAAGTTATGAGCTGCATGGCAAA